GACACAAGTATCCATAATATATGGATATTGTCACCCAGGCTAGAGTGCAGTGGCATCATCATAGCTCACTGCAACCTCAAACTCCTGGGCTCAAGCAATCCTCCTGCCTCAGCCTCCCGAGTAGCTGGAACTACAGGTGTGTGCCATCATGCCTGGCTAATTTTTCTATTTTTAGTAGAGACGGGGTCTCACTCTTGCTCAGGCTGGTTTTAAACTCCTAAGCTCAAGCAATCCTCCCACCTCTGCCTCCCAGAGTGCTAGGATTACAGGCGTGAGTCACTGGGCCCGGCCCTGTAGTGGGATTTTGTTCTGTTACTCTGTAGGCTCCTGTCCTCATCTAGGGTCAAGCAGACATGGTTGTGGTGAATTAGATTACATGTAGGCTTCAAGAAATATGAATAATGCATTTAAATCCAGAGAATCATAGAATTAAAAGAAACCTTAGAACTAAAATATATTTAACCTTCTCATTTTAAAGATGAGGAAATTAAACCAGGACCTCATAAAGGAAAATGACTTATCTAAGGCTACATGGTTACAACTAGAGCCAGGATAAGAATGTGGGTTGTCCGAATATTGTGTTTCTTTTACTTTTTCATATTAACCATTAGGTAAACTTTCCATCTGCGTGTTAAAATTCAGGTCTGAATGCCGTTATTAGGCCCCAAGTCAGGATATTCTAGAAGCCATTTGCACAATAATCTCCACTGTGCACATGGTAAGTGGTAAGGGTGAAAGAAGTAGCAGCAACTTTAACCAATGGTGTGGTTTCACATTAAGTTGTCTAATTTGCTTTGTGGAGGTAGGCTAACCCCAGTGCTACCATAAAGGAATAGGTAAATGAGACTTACTTTCCAGCCCTACTTCCTGATGGACAACTGCATGAAAACTTGGATGGGGAATTGTGAGTCTAAGTTCTATACCTGGCATAGTCCTCACTGTTTAGCCCCAGCCTCTGAGCTTAGCAGAAGATAATATTTTGGCTCTTTGTATATTGCCAGTAGTATCTTATAATTTTTGGTTCTGTTGGAGAATCTCCTAGGACTACAAAAATTACCATGATCCTTCTCTTAAAGAAGACCTACCAGGCAAATTTTAGGACAATCTAGCAAAATAGTTAAAATAAGAGTAAAGAGGAACATGTAAATAATGGTGAATTAATCTGGGAAACTGTTGAAAGACAAATAAATGAAGTTCTATGGTTAGCTGAAATAGACAAGGATAGCTTCTTCCAGCCTAAGATTTATATCAGACAGATTCAACAGTAAAGATTGTTAACATAAAGTTTATTCTCCCCTGAAATTGTATGTAGAATGTTTGTATATAAGACTTATGGTCGTCATTTATTCCACTGTGTCTGTGATATTGAGAAGCAGCAAAACCATGCAATAATATACAGAGACTTTGTATTTGTATGAGATAGATGTTATCAGTCTCGGTAAAAAACTAGACAGGAGGAGTAAAAGCTGGACATTATAAAGAGATTGGTTAAGAAATACTGTCTGTGGGTTAGCCGACAACGGTTGGAGAAGAAGGAAACTCTCCTTCCTCACACCTCCTCATTCTTTCTTGTCTCCTATTCCTTGATGATCACAGACCACCAGGTCTCTGCAAATCCACATTTTCACAGGGAGGAAGTCGGAAGTAGTTGGAGCGACGGAGTCTCCGTGGGGGCAGCCCGGCCATCTGACGGCAAAGTTCATCTAGGAGAGAAGCGGAGTGCGTGGGAAGAGAATGCAGGAAGATAACAAGGACTCTCGTTTTAAGGGAAAGAGAAGACTTTGCAGGTGGTGCAGTGAAAATGTCGAACAGAAAAACATCTGGGTTAAAACCTCAGCGCTGCCACTTATTATCTAACTGCTTACTAGAAAGTTTCTTAACTTTTATGAACCTCACCATGCCTTTCTGTAAACATTAAAATACCTACCTCGACAGTGTATTTGTGACTATTAAAATGAAATAATGTATGCAAAGTACCTCGCACAAGTGGCCAGTAAATGTTATGCACCTAGCTCCCAATTATTCTAATGACGGATCTATTAAATAGAAAAATGAGGTCCAATCATTCAATACACATTTAGGTATTTACTATGTGCAAATAGCCAACTTTAGTAAGTCCCCTGAGATACCTGAAAGTGCCTCGAGTCCCAGAGACTCATCCTCCACCTCAAGGTGCTTCCCTTGCAGGTGGCCTGCACAGAGCCAATGGGGGCGAGCCGCAAGTTTCCTTCTGCGAAGTCAACTACAGCTCTGACTCAGGAACTCAGTGCAGAGCTGGCTGCTGAGTCAGAAGTGGCCGTGTCTGTGGTGTCTTCACCAACCGCAGCCATCATTTGGGGCTGGCCGTGGGGAAGGTGAGAAATGTCTTTGTTCTCACCATGCGTGGTCTGTAACCACACACTTCGGACGCTTGTAATTGTTCTTACAGCGTCTTTCCACCTTCCTCCACCTCTGAAATTTCACAATAAGAAATGTAAGTGGTTCTTGGAGTTGGTGAAATGTTTATAATGGAGGTTATTTCTAAATGTCTCATCTATTTTTTATTTATAGGCCCTATTAAGGTGTGTGTGTGTTTCCTTTTCAGAGGTATGGGCATGGCTGCTGACTAGTGAAGTCTATTCTGTGATAGCTGACTTAACCTTTTCTCCAGAACCCCAGAGAGTGATCTTTAAAACAGCCAGAGCTTCAGAAAGCTCTCTGTGTAGGAGAGGTTGGGTGGTTACAATCTAGTTGGAAAGGGATTTAGGAGTACTTTTCTTAGGGTTGTGTTTGTATATTGAGCATACTGCTTTACTTAGATTGTTTATTTGGGGTGACTTTCAGCAGGAGCTGATGGAATTTAAGGGAGTAGCCTAAAGCCCTCCTCCAAAACCAGACTTTAGATATATTACATCATGTCCCTATTCCCGCTCTCATAACCGCTTCTCACCAATAAACACCCAGACATCACCTTACCTTTCATAACTTCATGTTCTTTACAGACAAGACGGGAGCAGATCTCATTGTTGATGATATACATACGTCGTAAACTGCCACAGGTTCCAATGGCACAGTCAAGAAAGGAGATTAAAAAAAAAAAAAAAGCTTTGAGAGGGAGAACTAGCCCAGGTCTAGGATGCTTCTTCTTTTTTTCTTTTTCTTTTTTTTCACAGCAACCTCAAACTCCTGGGCTCAAGGGATGCTCCTGCCTCAGCCTCTCAAGTGGCTGGCACTACAGGTGCACACCACCATGCCCAGCTAATTTTCTATTTTTTTATAGAGATGAGTTCATGCTATGTTGCTCAGGCTGGTCTCGAACTCCTAGCCTCAAGCGATCCTCCTGCCTTGGCCTCCCAAATTGCTGGGATTACAGGCACGAACCTCCATGCCCAGCCTAGGATGCCTCTTCAATATTTGTATTCCCCACTCTGTTCTATCTGTTCTTCCCCAAATGGATTTCCTTAAGTATTTCAGACTTCCTTTTTTTCCCCAATAGAACATAGAAGATGGAATGGTATTAATTACTCTTCTTTGTGACACTTTGCACACTCTACCTAGAGTCAAGCTTAATACTGGTCCCCACTGTTTTCTGTCTTCAGAGCTGGGTCTTTTGCTCCAGGCTCTTTCCATCAGGTAATAAATTGAACATACCAGAGTTTCCCTTGTGACCCTCCTTCCTCAAGCCCTCACCTTCGCTTGCCTTCTAGTGTCTATTATTCAGTCTGTTCTCTGTTTACTTCAACCCAGACTTCAGGTTCTAGCTGGCACCTTCAGGAATCCCTAGGAGGGTTGTGCTAACAATCAAAGATTGCAATTCCATGGTGGGTGCTCATTAAATAATTACTAATGCAAAAACACTACCATGACAGATGCTCTCTGAGCATTCTGGAATCCCTTACCTGGTGAAGCATAACTGATGGACGCATTGTTTGACTGGCCGATGCACAGAGTAGAGTCTTGTGCAAGCAAATTTCTCATCCCGGCACTCTGAAGAAGCCCAACACAAAAAATAGGGAGGTCCACATTGGAGCAGCATCAACAAAGGATTCAAGTGATGGAGAAGGAGAGAGAGAGTGGGAAAAAAATATACACAATAGTCTCCACAGAAAACCATTATAAACTGAGCCATGTCCTTCCTGCTCACCAAAGGCAGAGCAAGGGGAAATTAGCTACATGAAATTTAGGTGCTTCCCTACCAGGAAGCAAAAGTGAATAAAATAATCTCTGCGGGTACTTCCAGGAAAAAAGTCTTTCTAAGATTATCCGATAGGAAATATAAAATAGAAATGCTGATAATTTCATTCTGAAGAATAAGAATTCTTAGGTAGGGCACTGTTTCTCTGTTCCAGCAGTTTTCAGCCCTCACTGTACACCAGAATTATCAATGCGTTAGGAAAAGAAATTTTAACCATGACATCTATGGAGTCCTTGCAGTCAAATTGATTTCACTTCCCAGTCCATTAGCCACCAAATACAGTCCAAAGGTAGTGTAGGGAGAGGGCTATTTAGGGACCATGGAACATTAGTTCCATCCTTTCCCCATGACTTTTAGGACAGGAGCTCATTTTTTAAAAAAGGAATAGGGGAGTGAAGGGCACTAATACTCTTTGAGAAAGAATTGGAAGTAAACTAGAAGATGTACCAAGTACCCTCCAAGGAACACTGTGGTAAGAAATCCACAGGAAGAATAAAAAGACTTAAGAAAAAGGCATTTGAGAAATAATCATACCTGCGGTGGTATTTTTAGCATTGGGCGAGGCTGAAAAGCAGAAATTTTACTCAGTTATTACCAATTCTAGAAGTCACTACCTCTGTCACTGTCACCTTGCCTCACTTGGGACCTGCTTGGGTGCCCATAAATAGGAAACAAATGAGTTAATAACTCTTAGCAACTTCTAAAAGAAAACCCATATTGGGCTGATTTTATCCACAAAATGGAAGAGATTTAGGAGGCAGGTTGGGATTTTTTCTTTCTCCTTTCTCTTCCGGAGAGTTGAGAAATTCATTGAAATGTGAATTTCTTTGTGCTGTTGATAAGAAGCAAGTTTAGTGGGAACATAAGGCAAAGAGCCATATGTCCAGAAAAGCTTCTTCTAGAGCTAAGGAGAGAAACAATTATTATCCTGTAGATGCTCTTTCTCATAAGGAAAAATTTCTGTATATTAAATACATCATCATGGGTTCTTTGATAAAAGTTGTTGCATAAAGAACAGCGAGGGTCATATCTATAGCTAGACCTAAGCTAAGGGCAAGTTTCATAATGGGCCTGTTCACAGAATGGAGAACAGGTCAAGGAGTTAGATGACTAGATGAGGCAGAGGAGTTATCTGGGGAAATGTCACTGGAAGAGTCACTAATAGATAAAATACTAGGAAGTATGCTAGGTAATCTTATCTATCTCATGGTTTCAAGGCAGGTTTATATGCTAATAATTCCCAAACCTATGCTTCTAACCCAGATCTCTCTCCTAAACTCCAGACCTATATAAATTCAACTGCCTTTTTATGGAGGAGTTCTTGGATTTTTCAACAATCACTCAAATTCAACATCTCTCTAACTTAATTATCTTTCTCTTTACCAACTCAGCTTGTGCTTCAGTGAATGGTATCACCATTCACCCAATAGCCACATCTAGAAAACTGGACATTATCTCAACAATCCCCTTACCCTTATAGCTCACATTTAATTCTCACTATCTCTACCTTGGTTCAGGCCATCATCTTTTATTGGGATAACTGCAACAGCATTCTTGCTGGTTTTCCAGATTCCAGGCTGATCATGATCAAATCAGCTCTCCACGTTGCCCTGGGGTCATGGTAGGGGGAAGTGAGTGTGATCTTTCCAGTGGTTCTAATCAGAACCTTCCCTTGCATAAACTTCTGTCTGATTAGTTTTCATTTCCATCCTGACTTTTGCCCACATTGTTTTCTTTACCTGAAGGCTCTTCCCCATTCTATTCACTTCTACGTGTCTTTGGGAAGCAACTTGGTCAATATCCCCTCTGGAAAAACCTTTCCTAACTCCCAACACTGAATTCTAGTCAAGAACTCTTTCTGTGTCTTTCATAGTTTGTTTTTCTTATCCTGATTATAGAATTATGTGAAATTCAATAAAGTTATCTGTTTGTCTATCTTGTCTTTTATACAAAAGACATCTAGTAGAAGAAAATCAGTTTAATTCACCTTTACATCAGTGGTACCTAGTAGCAGGCTCTCGATAACTATTTGTTGAAAATAATCCAGTTTCCCACACATGCCAAGCTATCCTTCACTTTTACGTCTTTGAACACGTTGTTCCCTCTGGCTGGAATGCCCATCCCTCCTCCAACTCCTGGCTTGCTGCAATTCTTCTTTTAAGATTCAGAGGAAGCATTACTTCTAGAAAACTTCCTTTTATCTTCCCAAACATTTGTTTAAATCTTTGTCTTACTTTTACCCACCAAGTCTTGGAAACTTTGAGAGAAAGATCTTGTCTTGCTATTTTGTGTATCAAACACCTAACACAGTTCCTTCTTGTTAGGGGTTCAAGAATGTCGGGTTTTTTTTGTTTTTTTTTTTTGAGACAGAGTCTCACTCTGTTGTCCAGGCTAGAGTGAGTGCCATGGCCTCAGCCTAGCTCATAGCAACCTCAAACTCCTGGGCTCAACCTATCCTCCTGCCTCAGCCTCCCGAGTAGCTGGGACTACAGGCATGCGCCACCATGCCTGGCTAATTTTTTCTATATATTTTTAGTTGTCCGATTAATTTCTTTCCATTTTTAGTAGAGACGGGGTCTCGCTCCTGCTCAGGCTGGTTTCAAACTCCTGAGCTCAAACAATCCGCCCGCCTCGGCCTCCCAGAGTGCTAGGATTACAGGCGTGAGCCACCGCGCCCGGCCTGAACCATGTCATTTTTTAAAGAACTCTAATAAAACTTACCGACTTACCTGTTTCATCTGTAGGGGGATCGTTCACCAGATCTGCAAAGACACACAAGGAATGAAAAATGCAGGTGAGAAAAGTAGCTAAGGGAAACAGGACAAAGGGATGATGATCTAAAAGGAGACAAGAAGATTGAAGTGAAGGCATGTGGACTCTTGGGTAAATAAGGGAGTGCCACAGAACGAAACGGAAGAGATTATGAGATTGGGCATGTGTACAGAGATGCTGGCATCTAAGATGGATAACAGAGCTCTGTGTGAGCTTGGAGTGTCCACCAGCTCTTTTCCAGTGTTTATTTCTCTTTTTGCAGACATCATCCTCAATCTCTCTATTCCCAATATGAGAGCAAACAAATGAACAAAAAAAGGTAACTTACTAGGATCGTCTGTGAATGTTTCTTGAGTTGCTTGAGTCACATCATCTGAGAAAAAAAGAAATCAGAAAACATTTTCTGAGCATTCTCTCTCCCCCTCCCACCC